TAACCATAACTATAACCAGCCACTTCACTTGTTGTTAATATGTCTTCACGATGGCGATGGTGGAGGAGGAGGAGGTGCTCTGGTTGTTGGTAAACGCGAGGAGGAGCGGCGGTGAGAGAGGGATTGAAGAGGAGGATCGGAGAGGGAGAGGGAGAGAAACGCTGAAAATAGGGAGAGAGAGTTGCTGGTTTGTTACGGTTTGGGTTAGAAACAAAATACATATATAATTAATAACAATTCGTGAAATATTTTAGTGGCTAATTACTTTTTGAATCCCTCCAAAATTTGAAATCTCCCTCCAAATATTTTAGTTTTTTGGTGACCAAACTTTTGGTCGCCAAATATAAAAAATAATTTTTTTTTCTTTTCATTCGGTTACTAAAAAATTTTAGTAGCTAAAACTAACTATACGGCTACTAAAATATTCTTTTGTCGCTGAAAATATACTTTTGGCGACCAAACGTTTGGTTGCCAAAGATAAAAAATATATATTTTTTCTTTTCATTCGGCTACTAAACAATTTTAGTAGCTAAAACTAACTATACAGTAACTACAATATTTTTTTGTCACTGAAAATATACTTTTGACAACCAAACTTTTGGTCGCCAAATATAAAAAATAAATTTTTTTTTTTCATTCAGCTACTGAACAATTTTCGTAGCCAAAACTAGCTATACGGCTGCTAAATTTTTTTTTGGTCGCCAATTGTGATATTTTTGGTGACTAAATTTTTTTTAGCTGCTAATAATCAATATTCCCCGACTAAAAAGTATTAATAACTAAATATTTGACTTTTGCCGACTAATATTATTTTTGGTTGCCAATTCCATAACTTTTGACGACTAAATTTTTTTTAGTCACTAAAAGTACATTTTATTGTAGTGTCTTCAAAAAAAGTCGCTGACGTTTTCAAAATATAAAACTCAACCATATTTCTTAATTGTTTTGTGAAAATTAAGTTTTGTCTATCGATTGAGCTCAAACTAAATTTTTACTAGCAAGATCGCAGCCCTCAAAATCTATCTCCAATAAACCTTTAATTACATAATATGACAAGAATTTTAAAATTTGAGAACTTAATAAAAGTTGATATGGCTAAGGCCATGTTTGTTTGGCTCTTTGGAGAGGGAGATTGGATTAATAATATGTAAGACTCACTTAAAAAGAGTGTTTGGTTAGGGAAATGAATGAAGGGATAGCTATTCCCTTGGACTAGTAATCTCTCAATTGGTAGGACTACCAATCTCATGGAGAGGTTGTGATTAGAAATTGAGTGGGGGGATTAGTGAATTTTTAAATGATTTTTATTAATGTTGTGTTTAATAAAAAAATTTATTTCTTTGACAAATATATAAATTTTTTCTCATTTTTTCTAACCCAAATTGCAAAATATGGCAAGGAAAAAAAAACATGTATGTTTATGTTTTACCCAAACGAGTTCATTCTTTTTACCACGAGCCAGTCCTCCTTGTATTTACATTTTTTTTTTTCGGATTCTACAGTTAACAGTATCCGAGTTAGTTTATGTACATTTTTATTAATCTTCTTGCCGATTCAGCCAAAGGCAAGCCATTCACATTAGAAACATTATTCTTTTTTGTAATCTAGCCCCAAGAATTGAACTACGAATAATTGTGTGAGAAGTATACCCACCAATCACCCTATATTCCTTTCTTTTTTCTTTTTTTGTGCTAAAAAACAAAAAATGAACTCTTCCCCTCCAACGGTTGTAAGTGGTCCATATTGGACATAAACTATTAATTTTTTTTTTTTTATTTTTTATTTCAGACCAAAACAGCATATGAACCAAAAATGATGGATGCATCTAAATGCAGCAATTAATATGTGCATTTTAAGTTGTATTGATCTTTTATGAGAGAAAGTGTTTTATAATTGAAGAGTCAATCTGTATGAGTTCATAGATGATGAAAGTAAAGTGATATTACCTTGTTTGAGAATATTGATTATTTTACTTGATTTTAATTTTTTACAAAAAGAAGTATATAAAGATAGAGATAATGATGTAATAATTTGTATTGAATTTTTAGTTTTTTGATTTTTTGACTATTTTACTCGCATCCCAAACAATGCAATGTATTTAATCCTTTTATTTATTTTGTCAACGGGTCTACAAACTCATAATAAAAAATAAAAAATAAAATCAGAAAATCACTCAAATTTTTCATCAAAGGCTAAGACTTATTCATACTATGGGTCCACAAAACTTCTTTAAATATAGACAGTTGATTTGATATTAGAAAATTTCTAATTTTGTTTTTTTCTGGGACAATAGACTTTCTAATATTTTTTTTGGATTGTGAATATAAAATAGATGTGACTTGTTCTTGAGGAAGGAGATGAGATGAGATGAGCAACATGGTTATCGTTTTGCTGCTAAAAAAAATTCATATGGAGACGAACATAATCAACCAAATTGCAGATATGCTTGAAAGCTTTTTTTTGTTTTTTGTTTTTTTTTTAACTTTTTGCCGACCAAGCTTTTGGTCACGAAAGATAAAAAATAAATTTTTATTTTTCTTTCAGCGACTAAATTATTTTAGTTGCCAAAACTATATATATAGCGACAAAAATATTTTTTTAGTCGCCAATTGTGGCAAATTTAGCGACTAAATTTTTTTTAGTCGCCAATTGTGAGATTTTTAGCGACTAAATTTTTTTTACTCGCAAAAAATTAATATAGGCCGACCAAAAAAATTTAGTAGCTAAATATTGTACTTTTACCGACTAATATAATTTTTGGTCGCCAATTCCACAACTTTTGGCAACCAAAATATTTTTAGTCGGCAAAAGTGGTCGCCAATTGTGTATTTTCTTGTAGTGATTTTACTCACATCCCAAACAATGCAATGTATTTAATCCTTTTATTTATTTTGTCAACGGGTCTACAAACTCATAATAAAAAATAAAAAATAAAATCAGAAAATCACTCAATTTTTTCATCAAAGGCTAAGATTTATTCATACTATGGGTCCACAAAACTTCTTTAAATATAGACAGTTGATTTGATATTAGAAATTTTCTAATTTTGTTTTTTTCTGGGACAATAGACTTTCTAATTTTTTTTTGGATCGTGAATATAAAATAGATGTGACTTGTTCTTGAGGAAGGAGATGAGATGAGATGAGCAACATGGTTATCGTTTTGCTGCTAAAAAAAATTCATATGGAGACGAATATAATCAACCAAATTGCAGATATGCTTGAAAGCTTTTTTTTTTTTTTTTTTTTTTTTTGAACAAGAAAATACCAACCGGCTTACAAAGAGGGAAGTGTATTAGAAAAAAGTGCAAGTAATAAAATCGAATTACAAACGAATCTGAATTAGAGATATCCTCTCTAATAACAAATAATATTGAGAAAATTCTCGATTTTTATTAAATGAATATAAATTGTATTGCCCTAAAGTTTATATACATCTTTATTTATACTGAAATAATTATTGCTAATCAAGAGAATCTAAAAAAGAAAAATATATATTCTTTCTAATCAAGAATATTTAAAAAGGAAAATAATAATTCTTGTAAAACAAAACAATTAACATAAAATAGCAAAACTAAATAAGGAAAAAATAATAATTTTATACTATTCTATAGTAAGCAAGAATATTCCTATTTAAATATTTTTCCTTAAATATAAAATAAAAATATATATGATAAATTACATTTTGCCTCTTATGTTTGGTAATTCTTTTACTTTGACCTTTATAGTGATAAGATACAAGAGGCAGAGGAGGACTCCAAGAGTTCAGCATTGGACAAGAGCTCAGCATTGGACTGTGATGCTGATTAAGTCACACCACTGTTATATTAGCAATTCAGCAAAATGCAGTTAAGGTATGCAAAAAGTATACAGGACATCAATAAAGAGGAGCTTGGAGCTAACTGAACTCCAAGCGCCTGAGACTCTTCATGTTTCAATTTTTTCCCAATTTACTATTAAAGACAATTTCTGTTACAAATTGGACAGAAAATGTCACATTAAATGCCACATAACATAAAAATACATTATTATATTGGGATTTGAATTTGTGTTAAAGTGATGAGTTATATACAGTAAAATATTTTTATGCTATATGGTGGTCAATGTGTTATTTTTTTGTCTAATTTTGAATATAAGTTTGTTTTTTGAGTAAATGTAGAAAAAGTTGAAGCATTAAGGGCCAAAGTAGGAAAATGGCCAAATATAAAAGGAGCAAAGTATAATTTATCCATATGTATAATATTGGTAAATTTATACTCATGAAAGGAAACGTATCGGAAAGAAGAGAAACAATAAGATCAAGGCACGATTAAATGAATGTTTTGCTTGTTCTCAAAAAACAAAAAATGATTGAACGACGAACACATTGGAATTAGAGATTTTGTTTATAACAACGTACAATATTGAAAAAAACTCTTTTTTATTAATCAAATATAAAATGTATTGTCCTAAGGCTTACATATATATATCTATACTAAAATAATTCTTACTAGTTAAGAAAATCTGAAAAAGAAAAAAATATATTTTTGCTAGTCAAGGATATTTTAAAAATATATATATTAATTCTTGTAAAAGAAAAAATGTAAAATAGCAAAAATAAATTAGGAAATATAACGATTTTATACTATTCTATACTAAGCTGGAATATTTATAATTAAATATTTTCCAGTAAATATAAAATAAAATTATATAATAGTCGTAAATTTTGTTTGCATCAGCATATTAACATGGTTGATACAACCTACTTGCATATGACAAACAAAAGATATGTTTTTTAATAAATAGAATTATAGTATTTCTTTTTTAATGGGATCTCCTAATTAAATAAATCCCACTCCAGAACACCCCTTCTAACTTATTCAGAAACCCTGAAATTTTTTTTTATAAGCAATGATTAGAATGAATGTGGTTGTTTATGAATTTAGACTCTGTTTGAAATTTAAATTCAAAGAAGAACGTGCAAAGAAAAAAATAGATATAAGTGTTTTTTTTTTTTTTTTGGGTGCCACTTTTCCCTTAATTTTTCGTTTCTCTATATATATTCCTTCTCAAATACTAAAATACCATTGAGCTATAAATGTGGAATAGAATAAGATTCTACTAGTTTCTCCTCTTTATTTAGGAACAAATGTTACACGCATATAAAATTATGAATCTGAGTCACACATTTATGGTGAGGTTGTCTGGGGACCTGTACCATAGCTGCTGATAAAAGCCAAGGCATTACTAGTCAAATGCTCAACGTTCAAAACTTGCGTCCCGACTTTAGTCTTGACTTGCCCACTTGCTTTCTTAGAAATGCCATCAAAGCAAGTACCAAAATCTGTCAATGCAGCACTAACAAAAGTCTGAATATCATTTACTTCTCTACCAAAGTTGGGGTCTCCAAAATTAGTATTAGCTATCTCTTTCAAGGAACGGCTGAGCTCATCCGCTGAGTTGCCCGATAGTTCGACACAGTCAGCTAGGGCTGAAGCCTCCACGGGGCTCAGGCCCGGACTCTTTGACAGCTTTGTCACGAAATCTGAGGCTGATTGGGCGGCTGAGAGGGTAACAGAGATGGCAAAGGTGGCTAAGTTTTTGCGGCTAGTTTTGATTTTGTCCGCAAAGATTGAGAGGGAGTCGTAGCATAATTGAGGGTACAATGTGATGGTACATGATTTTTTGATGAAGTCTGTGTTTGCATTTGTGGGTATTGGCTTATTGGCTAAGCAAGAGGGCATGTAGGCAGTGAATTGAAGGAGAATGAAAAGAGTTGTTAGTACATGGGAAAGAAATGAACTTTCCATCTCTCTTTCTCTCTCTCTGTGCAAGATTGATGGGTTAAGTTGGGAACTATGAAGAAGTCAAGGAGGGTAGGAACCGATTTATAGGATGGCTTAAGGGTAAGCTATTAATTAGTTTCTCTAGTTTTGTTATAATTTTAAATTGTGATGCTATATGCATTAATTGTTATATTAATTACTTTATCAATATATGTTATGATATTATTATTTCAAAATTATGACTTCACCCATTATACAAATTACTAATACCCAAAACTTCTAAAATTATGTCACATTATCTGCTAGTACACTAATTGGTATACCAATTGGTGCATATAGCATTATTCAATTTTAAAATGTGATATTTTGATTTAAAATTTTTCTGTTTCTCTAGTTCTGTTATAATTTTAAATTGTGATGCTATATGCATTAATTGTTATATTAATTACTGTATTAATATATGTTATGATATTATTATTTCAAAATTATGACTTCACTCATTATACAAATTATTAATACCCAAAACTTCTAAAATTATGTCACATTATCTGCTAGTACACTAATTGGTATACCAATTGGTGCATATAGCATTATTCAATTTTAAAATGTGATATTTTGATTTAAAATTTTTCTATGTAAGATTTTAATGTCACATTTATGGCCCATCTTGAGACTTTGAATTTTAGTCAAAAAGTCAAAAAATAACTACAAATTATTCACCAAGGATCCTCTAGAGTGAAATTTTCCTAAAGTTTCCTAGAGTGGTATATTGTGTGGTTGAGATTTACTGGCAAGTCACATCAAAAAAATTGATGTGACTTGCCAATAAATCTCAACCATACACTGTAGCACTTTAGAAAACTTTAGGAAAAAATCACTCTAGAGGATCCTTGCTCCAAATTATTACATTACTATCTATACTTTTTTCCACGTTTTTTTGTAAAAATTTAAAGAGCCAACTAAAAATATTATATACTTTTATTTTTACCATTTTATGTAATATTAACCACATCATTTGATATTAGGGCTGGGTATAAAGTTATTCGATCCGCAAAAACCACCCCACCCGAACCGCTTGCACCTATTTGGGCGGTTTGCATGATTATTAAGGTCAGATGTGGTTTAGGATTTTCCTGTTTTACGGGTTGCGGGCCCGCATTTGTATATAATTTTTTTTTTTTAAATCTGGACTATCAAATTTTTTTGTAAATTTTTTAAGCGTGTAACCCTAATCTTCTATCTCTCACTCACTTTAATCTGATTATTAAACATGTAGGCTCTAACATTATAACATTATAATAGTGTCACACACTGCCTTATTTAAAATACTTATTATTCAATTAAAATATTTTAAAATTTTTTACAAATCTAGGTATGTGATTTTTTTTTTCTATGTTACTTTTTGTTTAATTTTCATTCAATTTTTTGTAATCCAGCTTTAATAGAGGATAGAGTTGAACCTCCCGCAATAAAAAATATTTAAAAAATGAGAAAAAAAAACAAGTTTGAAAAATAATTTTTTAAAGGAAAAGGCTTCGCAAACCGTTTGCAACCGTTCGCACATCCGTGAACCCTATTCTCACAAACCACAATCTGCATTGCGGGCGGTTACGGGTTCAATTTTCTCCAACCTGCAAACATGTGGGCGGGTCCAAACCGCAAACTGAATCGTCAAAAACCGATCCGCGAACACCCCTATTTGATAGACCCATTTTTTATGCACACGAGACTTAAAAATATTTTCTAGTTGACTTTTGTTATCCAAGCTAAAAAATTAGACCTACTTTCTATACCCAATAATGTGTCAAGAAGATTAAGGTTTATAGATATTATCTAATTATCAACCAATTATCTTCTTGACAGATCATTGCGTCTAGGAAATAGGTCTGAAAAGTGGAATTGTATAACATTTTCCTTTTTATTTTTATATTTTAGACTTAGAGTAGTACTATTCAAACCAAAAAATTAGAATTACCTTTCAAATCCAATAATCAATCAACCAATCACTTTTATGTATTATTTCTCTCTCATATTTTCTTTAATTATCAACCAATAATGTGTCAAGAAGATGATAGGTTGATAGATATTATCTAATTATCAACCAATTATCTTCTTGACACATCATTGCGTCTAGGAAATAGGTCTAAAAAGTGGAATTGTATAACATTTTCCTTTTTATTTTTATATTTTAGACTTAGAGTAGTACTATTCAAACCAAAAAATTAGAATTACCTTTCAAATCCAATAATCAATCAATCAATCACTTTTATGTATTATTTTTCTCTCTCATATTTTCTTTAATTATCAACTAATCATATTACTTTCACACTATTAGGTCTAGAAAATGAATTTAAAAAGTGAACTTGTATATCATTTTTCTTAGAATTAATATTTGATTAGGAATATTATAATTTATAATTATTATAGTTAATATTTGATTGGTATAGAATAGTATATCATTATTATATTTCCTCATCTAGCTTTTGCTATTTTCTGTTTTTTATTTTATGAGAATTAATATTTTCCTTTTTAGATATTCTTAACTAGTAAGAATATGTGTGTATATATTATTTTCAAATTTTCTTAATTAATAAGAATTCTCTTAATATGAATAAATATGAGTCTTACGGCAGGCAATACGGTTTATATTTAATTAATAAAAATTAAGAGTTTTTTTAATATTCTTCGCACTTAGAGAGAGTATCTCTAATTCGGATTTGTTTGTGGTTCGATCTTATTATGTGCTCTTCTTTTTGATATGCTTCCATGCATCAATTTTACTTCAACTCTAATATTTTTGTGGAACATATTAGATAATGCAAATGTGCCATGAACACATAAAAGTTTAACAGAATGGAACACAAATCTGACACAAATGGTGAGTCACACATATGTAGAGTCCAATCCACCACATGTGGGATTTACCCTATGTTTTATATTTGAGTCACATGTGCACTTAAATTTACTATAAATAATATGATTAATGTCATGTGTTATGTTAGATGATACTCAAATATAATTATCACAACATTATTCTTTTCATGATTATGTTGACAAAAACTAGCTATATGCATTTGGAATCCAGATGTCTTTCAGATGCAAGATTGTTGCTCAAACAAGAATTTCATTATTCTGTCAGGTACTCTCTATTATAGCTTTGAATGTGTTATAGTCAATGTATATGGCCTTGATGATAGTGTTATAAGGAGGAGGGTGTGGGATATCTAGATTAAATCAGTTATATGAAAAACCTTGGTGTCAGGGGGGTGATTTTAATGAAATCATGTGTGAAAGGAATGGATGTTCTAGTAGAGATAGGGGTATGAGAGAGTTTAATGAGCTAATTGACAATTTAGAAGTGTGTGATATTTCAATGATGGGAAAAAAATTCACCTTGTGTAACTCACAGGAAGGAGAGAAGTGGAGTAGGATCGATACGTTCTTGTTCAGTCCAGAGTGGATGCATTTGTTTAATTTTAAACTATGGAGGTTACCAAGAAGAATCTCAAATCATTGCCCTATTTTGCTTATGGAAGATGAGAGGGATTGGAGAGTTTAATGAGCTAATTGACAATCTAGAAGTGTGTGATATTTCAATGATGGGAAAAAAATTCACCTTGTGTAACTCACATGAAGGAGAGAAGTGGAGTAGGATCGATACGTTCTTGTTCAGTCCAGAGTGGATGCATACGTTTAATTTTAAACTATGGAGGTTACCAAGAAGAATCTCAAATCATTGCCCTATTTTGCTTATGGAAGATGAGAGGGATTAGGGTCCAAAGCCATTTAGATTTCTTAATGCTTGGTCCTTGCATCCAAATTTCTTAGCCATTGTGGAGAAAGCTTGGGTTGAAACTACTGTGGTGGTTTGCGTTGGTTTCAAATGCCTAAGGAAACTCCAAGCACTTAATTTGGCCTTGAAAAAATAGAATAATGAGGTTTTTGGAAATGTGAAATTTAATCTCAAGCTTCTTGAGAAGGAACTACACATGCTTGATTGGGCAGCTAAAGAAAGATCTCTGATTGAGACAGAGTTAGCTAGAAGAAGGGAGGCAAAAGAAGAGGCTTGGAAATTGAGTAGAATGGTGGAATGGATATGGGTGCAAAAATCCAGAACTAATTGGGCATTAAAAGGGGACAAAAATACAAAATTTTTCCATATTATGGCTTCTTCCAGGAGCAATAAGAATGCATTGTGTTTAATCAATGTGGATGGGGTTATGAAAGAAGAACTTGAAGATATTAGGGATGAAGTCTTGCAGCATTTCAGAAATCATTTTACTGAATATTGGCCTAGTAGACCAAGCTTATCTGGTCCTTTTAAGTCCATTGGGGGAGCTGAGGCTAGAGATGCATTAGAAGCTAAATTTACTAAAGCAGAAATAATAACAGCAATAAAGAACTGTGAAGGGAATAAGGCACCTGGACTTGATGGGTTCAATTTGATGATGTTCCAGAAATATTGATTGACAATTAAGGGTGATGTGATAAAATTTATGAAGGAATTCTGCTAAAACTATAAATTGGTACATGGAATTAATAGTTCTTTTGTGGCTTTGATTCCAAAATCTGATAACCCATCTTGTCTTAATGACTTTAGGCCTATTAGTCTCATAGGTTCTTTGTATAAAATTCTCGCAAAAGTTTTATCAAACAGAATGAAGAAAGTAATGTCAAGTATTATTAGTGAATCTCAATCAGCATTCATTGGGAGGAGAAATATTTTGGATAAAGCATAAATTGCGAATGAAATAGTTAATGGTTAGAAGAAGAAACAGAAGAAAGGCATTGTAATTAAACTAGATCTTGAGAAAGCCTATGATTCTATTAACTAAGATTTCCTCTTCTCTATGCTTTCAAATTTTGGGTTTGGCAATAAATGGATCAGTTGGATTAGAGAGTATATATCATTAGTAAAATTTTCTATCTTGGTAAATGGTTCACCCACATCTGAGTTTAATCCTGATAGAGGGCTGAGACAAGGTGACCCATTACCACAATTTCTGTTTAATATTGTGGCTGAGGGTCCCAATATTCTGTTAATGAGAGCTCTGTAGAGGGGGTTGATTAAAGGGGC